TTAGAAACCCCTTTTTCACTAGCATACGGTTGCGAAACGATGATCCCTGTAGAGGTAGGAACTGGTTCACTACGGAGGGACTTGTACAATGAAGCCGACAACAAAGCGCTTATGCGAGCAAGCCTGGACCTTGTTGAAGAACATCGCAGCAAGGCTTCGATAAGAATAGCAGCAAGGCTTCGATAAGAATAGCAGCCTATCAGCAAAGCACCAAAAGGTTCTTCGATTCTAAGGTCAAACGAAGAGCCTTCTAGGTCAACGACCTTATATTAAAGGAAGTTCTCCTTGGTACTAGAGAACCAAGTGCGAGAGTGTTGGGACCAAACTAGGAAGGCCCATACCGCATCGCCAAAGTGATAAGGCCAGGGACTTACCACCTAAAAAGGCTAAATGGTTCCATAGTACCGTGAGCTTGGAATATTGAACACCTTCGACCTTATTATCAGTAATTCCGAACTCATTTTCCCTTGTAAAGAATATTTTTTGATCTTTGTAAATGTAAATTAGTATTATTCTATTCACTTGTAATAGTCTTCACATGTTATTTTGTTCGTATAAACATGTTATCATGTTCGCAAAGAATTGTTCCAATATTATGAGCACTTAGAATGTAAACTCATGTATAATAAAGCAAACAGAAATTGTAAAAGCAAAATATATTTCATTAATGTAAAGAGTACAGCAGGCAAGACGGTACAACTATTAGCCCTAATCTAACTCCTGGAGGACCGACCTCATCATCCTAAGGCTGGTCAGCTGGGGGCTTCTCCGAGGCATGTCCCGAACCCTCTGTCTGATCGAATTTTTGAGCGGTCGCTGCTTCATCATCCTGTTGTGCCATGGACATGAGAGTTTCATGCCAGTCCTCCGGGAGGTCGGACATATCAATGCGCGAATTCTTCGGCCGCAAGGCATAAATAGACTCAATCGCCCACTCGACAGCCTTCTCCTCGACCTCCGCTGCCTGATTTTGCATCTCTTCGGTCAGGGAAGAAACTTTTTCCCTGACTTGCTTGGAGTTCGGCCTCGAGAGCTTGCCTTTGCTTCTCGGAGGCATCCCTCTCTTGTTCTGCTCGCGAGGCCCGCAGAGAGGTCATTTTGAGCTCCTGGTCCCTCTCCCCGGCCTCCTTGGAGAGTTTGGCTATGGTCCTTTGGAGTTCCTTTATTTCCTCCCCATGTTTCTCAAGCTCAGCTTTTTGGAATTCCACTGTGCGAAGAGTCGCGTCCCTTTCGCTTAGGTACCAGTTTGCTGACTCAGAGGATAGGTTTCTTTCTACCTCGGCAGCTTCTAGGCCTCGCTTGAGATGTGCATTCTCTTCCCTCAGGGTGACCTCCCCCTTTGCAGCTCCCAGCTGAACCTTCTCCAGGGACAGTTTCATGGAAAGCAGGGCTGCGAACAAGAAAAAATAGCGAGTTAGTTTATCAAAAGGAACTAAGGGATGTCCTCGTCGAGGATAGCTCGCTTACCTTGCTTAAGTACTGGAGCGATGTGGACATTAGATCCACGTCGCTGGAACCTACGAACTCCTCGAATGCCTCTGAGAGTCTGTAGTCCAGCAAAGTGTAGACTATCGGCTGCAGGTACTCCGGCAGGTTCCCCAGCGAGTCCAGCACTAAAGTTTCCTTCTTCGCACCTTCAGCAGAGATCACGTCGCCCGTCGGTTCCTTACCCTTCTTCCCGACGTCTGGTTGTGACCTCTCGGGTTGATCGCCCTCAGATTCGATCTCTGACTTTTCGACCATAATTTGCCTTCTCTTCTTCTTTGCTCGCTGAGCCGTTGTTTTTAGCCTCGGGTGAACGGTCGATGGCTAGGAAGCCTTCGCAGGTCAGATTGGTGCGTCCTTCAAAGGTTGATGCTGAGAAGTCCCAGCACGTCGCACCGGGAGGTCCGCTATGGCACCTTCAGCCGGGGGATCGGCAGGAGCAGTGTCGGTCGCCCTGGCAGTCCTTGCCTGCGGGAAGTTAAATTGCCTTCGTCGCATTTGCTCTGACACCCTCGGAGGCGTTTGCGTTTGCGTTGAAGAAATCGTTTACAAGACTTACTCAATGGGGGCTTTAAAAACGCGTTTGCGTTGAAGAAACCATATTTTCGTAGATTCGCGGTCGTCACGAGCTTCTTCGCGTCGCAACTGGCTTCGGGCAGGAAGCCGAAAGATACAATCCTATCCGGATCGAAGAGCAGCCCTAAGTCGGTCGTCTTGTTAATTGTCAGAAAAGAAACAAGTCGTTAGAAAGAAAACGCATTCCAAATTTAATGAGTTCTCCAAGGGAAAAGAGCCTACTCGGGTCTTGAAAGCGGCAATGGTCGTCGTAACAAAAGAAGAAAAACTTTGTTTAGTAGGTCCCCGCGTTGCTAGGGTAGCTATGTATCCCCTCGGCTATGGTAGGTCACTTGGACAAGTAATAAGAATCATTGTCCTTGCTCTTTTTCAAGAAATACGAGCAGCCGAGCTCCGCCGCGGTTAGCTTGCCCAGCCCGTTCTCACGACACGTGATATATATGGCAATAGCAATAACATACATGTTCGGAGCGAGCTGCATCGGCGCTATCCCAAAGTGATCCAAGATCGACCTGACAAAAAGGTGGAAGGGGATCAACCCCCCACCCTTGATGATCTCCTCGAAGATCGCGGCCATCCCACTTGATGGGTATCGCAATGAGTGGGCCACATCGCGAAAAACTTCCACGTCGATACCGTACTGTTTTATCACCCTCTCAAGCTCTTCCTCGGTAAGTACCAAGTAGACCTCAAGAGTGACACTCGGAACACCTTGCGAGGACGAACCAGTTCCTTCCTTGGATCTGGTCGTTGAGGGGTCCATTCTACTAGTTTGCAAAAGCGACAAGCAGGGGGGTCATTTAGCCATCGTACGCTACTCCGTACGATGACGTGGAAGGAAACAAACTCCCTAAAACCTAGAGAAAACCCTAACAGAATGATTCGAGCCACCATTCATGGCTTGAACCCCACATGAGCATCTCGTCTCCGATTAGCTACTGGAAGACTAACGCCATTTCCCATCAATAGGGAATAAGAAAATACAAACAGAGAACGATTCTTACCTCTCGGAATACAAAAATGGCTCCTTCTGCTTCAAATATCAGAAACACACTGGTTTGGAAGGCAAGGGTTCCAAGCTTGCGAAAGGCTCATGTTCTCTTTGAAAAAGATGAGCTTGGTGACATTGCCTGAGATGAGTCTGAGTTTTTATAGCAAAGGAATCGACGCTTGGTTTTCTCAAAATTGAAATGACATTTGGGCGGAAAAATTTCTCACCGTTGATTACGACCACGTGTCGCAAATCAGTGAGAAAGAGTGAACGTCACGATTAAAGAAAACCAAACCTTCATCCTTTTCCGTTGAAAAACTCAAGCGACGGCACTCTCTTCCTCAGCATTAATTGCGCCCCAATATGCATTCAATGCTCTGATAAGGGGTGTCGTTTCAGCATGCCATGCATTTAATGTCTGATAAAGGATATCGTGTCAGCATATCACGTATTTAATGCGCCTGGCTGGCACTTATTACGCACAGGACATGTCTGTCAGAGCAGAGGCTGTTTCATTAAATGCATCCATATTGAAAATGCAACAGGCAACACCTGACGAAGTCAGGTCGCTCATTCTTAACAAGCAATGACCATGCGTGGTCGTGTTCATAAAGGGCGCTACCCCGACCAATCTTCAGGCAGGTCGTAGTCACCAGAATTTCCCAAAAGCATATAGTCGTGGCATGAATTATAGTTTCCAAGGTTCAATCCTCAAACCTTAAAAACTAGGAGACTTCTGTTATGCCTAAAGAATGCAGGGCTGACGTAAGGTCTAGTCAGCGTGCAAAAAGTCAGAGTATGGATGCACCCGCAGCCGAGTCGCGTGGGGAAAGGAGCAACATGCTTTTGTCATAATAGTGGGTGTGTGCCAGACCAGCCAGAAGTTTTGGTGCTCCCATGTGTCCGATCCCTACTCCAAATCTCGTAAATCACTCTAGAAGGTGGGCAATGTGACATAAAGAGGGATTTGCACGGATAATCCCACCAACTCACAGATTCAGTAATGATAGCCTTAATCCATCCCACTATAAATTGAGAGCTCCTCTCTCATTTAGGGGATTAGCGATTCTCTCTCAAGAATATATAGCATTCTCTCTCTTGTACTATCATTTGTAAGTCAGTCCGCTAACGCGACCTGACCTCTATCATTAATACAAATATTAGTGGACGTAGGATTTGCTTCCTTAGCATCCGAACCACTTTAAAAGTTGTTCCCATTGCATTTATTCTCATTTTTCTTGCATTCAGGTGTGTCTTCTGGGCCAGCTCAGCATTGCATACGTGCGTTTAGTTGGTGTAAAAATCACGCATCAATAATCTTATATTATACGTACAACTTGATAATTTGGCAAAATGGTTATAAATATTTAGTAGTATAATTTGCTGCATATGAATTTAATCTTTTAGGGAGGGGCATAAACTGGTTTTGAGGGTGCATGCCCAAGAGCATCACTGGGTAAAACTATTTCATGGATTTATGGTGCAACCCATTTATTGCATACCATGAATCACAATAGACCATGAAACTACACTCTTGTCAGGAATTTCATCGAACAGGTCCTCTGCATCTTTAATCGTTCCAGATTTAAAATAAGTCCTCAAGACTTTTGAGGACTTATAAGGATGAACGCAAGAAACATAAGGTTTGCATAAAGGAGAAAATTTAAAGGGGTTTTCTTAATTTGGCTTATAAACATAGAAACTCAGCTGTTAGAGAGTGTATGGAATGGTTGATGGCGGGTGATGGAATAGGGGTGTTGAAATTTATTTGGAACTAGAGGGTTCTATTAGATATGAAGATAAATGATAGCGTTTCAAAAATTGCGAAATAGTAAATAAAAAAATCTTGTTCCAGTAAAGCGCGGTAAATACAGTTGCTTCATCAGATCAATCAAGTACCACGTCTGTTACGCGGCTACTTCTGCTCCCGCCACGTGATCATTGAACGAAACCGACACGTTCTTCAAGCTTCCATTTTCTTCAAGTATAAGATAACTACAACCTTAATAACCCGCTGGATTTTTGTTTTTAATTGTCTTGTGAGAAAGGAAGAACAAAATCGTTAGGTTCATATGTCTTCTTCAAAAGCTCCTTCAAATTCTCTCTACCCGGAAGTGATTCTTTCAAACCCGGAAGCTGCTTCTGCTTCTATCTCAACTCCTCCTTCGTCTTCTTTGTACCCGTCAGTTGACATGACAGAAGTAGCGGAGAAGCTCTTCCCGGATGACGACGCCGCTTCGCAAACTACGAACGTTCAACCGTCTGAGGATCTTCTTGTCAAGGTACCTGGGGCCATAGTTCATCTTATTGAAAGAGAAAACAGCGTTGAACTGGCTTCTGGCGAACTCAGCATAGTTAGTCTTTCACAAGGTGGTAATGTTGTAGCTGTTTTTGCACGTATAGGAGATGAAATTCAATGGCCTTTAGCTAAAGATGAGCCTGCAGTGAAGCTTGACGAGTCTCACTATTTCTTCACTCTTCGTGTACCGGATCAAGACCATTATGAGTTGTTGAATTACGGGTTAACAATTGCCACCAAAGGACAAGCTCATCTGTTGAAAGAGTTGGATAGAATTTTAGAGACTTACAGTTGTTTTTCGGTTCAGAAAGTGAGGAACATGGAGAGCTGGGAGGTGGTGGCAAGGGAGATGTCGCCAGAGGAGTTGAAGTTGGAGGATAAGAGGGATTTTATGGAGAAAAGCTCGTCGGCTTATTGGACTACTTTGGCTCCTAATGTTGAGGACTATAGTTGGACTTCTGCGAGGATGATTGCGGCAGGGTCAGGGCAATTAATTAGGGGTGTTTTGTGGTGTGGTGATTTGACTGTGGATAGGTTGAAGTGGGGGAATGAGTTCTTGAGGAAGAGGATGGGACCGGGTTCGAAATCTGAGATTAGTCCTGCTACAATCAAGAGGATTAAAAGGTTTGGGTTTTTTTTTTTTTTTATATATATGTTTTAGATCATGCTCGATGGTTCTGTTTTCTTCAGCCCTGTCTTTGAATAGTTGTTTATTTTTGGTTCAGTTGTTAAAATTTTAGTTCCCTTGAAAGGAATGTTTCCCATTTGTTGGTTCCAATATGTCTGTCTGCCTATTGCTTGATATCTGTTCTAGTAGGTCTGTCAGTGGAGTGTAGAATACAGGGGATTTTGGCCTTTAATATTTGTTATGGACCTATGCAGGGTTAAACAGTTGACAAAGATGTCCGAGAAAGTGGCCACTGGAATTCTTTCGGGGATTGTCAAAGTGTCGGGATTCTTCACAAGTTCAATTGTGAATTCTAAAGTCGGCAAGAAATTCTTTAGCCTTCTGCCTGGAGAACTTGTCCTCGCTACCTTGGATGGATTCAGTGAGTTGTTCTTCTCAAACTCAATGTTTTTATATATGCTTTGGCTTGCATATCCTTAGTCGTGAAGTATATGGTATTTCTATATTCATTAATTTAAGAGCTATTGTAGGGACTGTATGCCATGTTNAAGTGTCGGGATTCTTCACAAGTTCAATTGTGAATTCTAAAGTCGGCAAGAAATTCTTTAGCCTTCTGCCTGGAGAACTTGTCCTCGCTACCATGGATGGATTCAGTGAGTTGTTCTTCTCAAACTCAATGTTTTTATATATGCTTTGGCTTGCATATCCTTAGTCGTGAAGTATATGGTATTTCTATATTCATTAATTTAAGAGCTATTGTAGGGACTGTATGCCATGTTATGATCTGAAATAGTAGTAAAATGGTTATGGTATTATCTTGTGGCCACTCTATTATAAAAATTGATCCTAGACATAAAAAGAGCATAAACGGAAGAATTAATTAGCTTATTGTGCCGATCTTTGACCCGGTTAAATTGGAAGCATGGATTTTTTTGTGCAGTGCGTTTTAGCCTTTTGTTAGGTGTCAACCAGTTAGCCATGAATAAATGGTAGTTAGACGACCAATATTTGCATTTTCAAGTGAAGATGTATTCACCTGTACCTTCTTTAGCAGATTGTGATAATTGAATCTTCTCATTGTGTACCAGTTTAGAAACCATAATTCTCCAGTCTTCTTCTAGTAGTGTCTTCATTATTACCAAGTACAGTTTAAATAGTTGTTCTAATATAAGTGTAAATATCTTGCTTTGTACCTGCTGCTCATGTTATTGTTCATTCTGTGTTCATGTGTAGATAAGTTTTGTGATGCAGTTGAAGTTGCCGGAAAGAATGTCATGTCGACTACATCAGTTGTGACAACTGGGCTTGTTTCGGAGAGGTAAATCTCAAATCTCAATCTATCTACATAATTGATGCTCCATTACATCAGTACCACTGTGATCTAACCATATAATTGAATGCTTCATTACATCATCACCACTATGATTTTTGCTACTATCACTACAAGCGTGTTTGAACAATTAATCATTATATTGGAAGTAGGCATTAAACTCTTGGAAGTTTGTGGTGTCATGTTCTTCCTTCTTGGTTCTGTTGCTTTGAGGTGAAGTTTCTCTTATAACGGATGTTCCACTCGAGGGAATTGGCACATGAATAGAGTTTTATAATTGTATCCTCGCATTTATGCTGTGCCTCAGACGGAACCCAATTTCATGTCCTATAATGTCAAAGCAGAAAGGGTTGTAGATTTGAATGCCAAAAATTTGAACAAATTAATATGTTTTCTGGACCTAGTTTTCATCCTTTTTCGTGTATGCTATTTTTCATGGGCAAGTTTGATCATATTGTTTCTCATTTCAGGTATGGGGAGCAAGCAGCAAAGGCAACCAATGAAGGGCTAGATGCAGCAGGACATGCAATTGGCGCTGCTTGGGCTGTTTTCAAGATAAGAAAGGCGTTCAATCCGGCTAGCGCATTCAAACCCACAACCCTTGCAAAAGCTGCTGCAAAATCAAAATATGCCGAATTGAAGGATGAACAACAGAAGTAATAGCAGCTAATAGATTTTTATGTTGGGTTGCCCTTTGTTTGCTTCTGTATGAAAGCAGGAAGGTTTAAAGATACTTCTCTCTGTCAATTTGCATTTTCCTGAGTGAATCTTAATGACAACATGATGTTGAAAGTAGTGAAATTAACTGTTAGTCTGTTACTGGTACTAGAAACAACCATAAAATACTTCTTTAATTGAGAACAAAATTTGGATATCGGGACTTCTTTAATTGAGAATGATACATTCTTATTCCCTCCGTTTGACCACTAAATACTTCTTATTAATATTTCATAAACACAGAATAGTCGTTTAAATTACGCCTCTACTGTATATGAAATCATGGATCACTCTTTAGTCTTGAGGCCTCAGTAGGTTGTTTTGAAGGGCTTGTAAGTCTTGAGATCAAGAACAACTCCAGCTACAGAGCCAATTGCAGCAGCTATAGTGATGAAGAAACAAGTGACGCTAAGAATCTGAAGGCCAAGCCACCTGGCTGTTCCTCGCCCAATCTTCTTCTGTGCTATGTACATTTCAATTGGAAAATACACAGTTAAAGGCCAGAACCCCATTGCCCCCAGGAGCCCAACAACATCATTGAAGAAGGGCATGAGCATGGCGATTACGGTTGTCAATAGAACAAAGATGGTCCTCCATACTAGGCGGAACAAGTTTAACTGGTAAACGCCATAGAAAGGAATAGGTATGTCATATTCCGCTGTTACAAAATCACTCTTAGACCACTTCTGTGCACTCCATTTTTCCACAAAAGCAAACAAGGGCTGGCAAAACACCTGCATATTTGCATTGAATTAATATAACCCTATGAAGTTATACAAAAAATGTTCAAAAAAAAATCATGATTTCAGAAGAGAGAAGAACTGTATACCTGATATGCACCAACAAGGTGAACAAAGATGGCTACATTCGCAATGTCTATGAGCCAGTAGGGATTGTAGAAGCCAAAGCCAGTCAAGAGATTTCCAGGAGCCAGATCTCCAAAGGAAGCATAACCCATGCATCCACAGAGCAAGTAGAACACAGTTGTTACTGTGATGCTGAGTAAAGTTGCTTTCTTCATGGTCTTGTGCTCTGCGGGAGGAGATTTTACTGTATCCTGCAAAATAGAAATAGTGTTTATAAATGTACCATCATCATTATACAAGACCAATTTTGCTAAATGTACCTGGATTTCAATGAGAATGACGGAAAAAGAGTATGCAAAGGCAATTGCTCCAAGAGCTTGCAAACTCCTCCATAGCTTCTGCATTGAAGTAACTGTTCCAGCACTTGTTTCTGTCCCTATGCTTATACCTGCCAAGCTTCCTTTGAAAGTCCCATTCTCTGGGAAAAAATAAGTTTAGGGATATCTATGCAGAAGCTAAAAAATGAATGGATATTGTTCATTCACATTCTCACTTTAGTTATCTTATATTATACCTGCAACTTTTCCAATTCCAAGTCCAAGACCAGCAGTAGAGTATGTGAATGACATAACAGCTGCAACTATAGACAGCCACCATACTTGATCAAAGTCCGGGATTTGAGAAAATATCACCTCTATAATCCCAAATGTTATCATATACCCATTACTTGACATGTGGCACGGATTCTTCCCCCGGCTCTTGTGAAAACAGTTTGATCTTTTTATTGCCCTGTAACATTATAATTGAGTATATGTGAACCTCGATGGCACGAAGAAAAATTTATTCTCCCTAAATACGGTAAAGTAAAAAAATTTAGTGAGAGAACTCACATCATACTGACAGATGCTGCAATTGTATACCCAATTGCAACACCAAACAAATTTAAGTATTGGATGAGCCCACAAAGCATAACCTTCTTCCCTCCTGCAATCATGGATGCATGTTACCATAATCATCATATGTCAAAAGTACAAAGGTTAAATTAAAAGCCTTACTTCAAATAGATAGAAACATGAATCAGTTATATCTCTTACCTAAGTTGGCCTTGACAGCATCCATATAGGTGTAATTTCTCTGTCCGGTGACTGGATCACCAGCCCTGTAGCACTGAGAAAGAAGACCAGCAGTGTAAAGATTGACAAAGGCAAAGAGGATCAGGACAGCCGGTCCTGCAACCCAACCAAGCTGTCCAATGGCCCATGCTAATGACAACACTCCTGACCCTATCACAGCTGTGATAATATGCGCTGATGCAGTCCAAAAAGTTCCTGCATCGCAATTGAAATAAGTTTATTTTATGAGGAAAAAATGACTAGGTCGCTTTCTCCAAGTAAATGATTAGCTCTGTACCATTTTATAGTGAAAAAAATGAGCTTAGTACATAGGAAAGCATTATTTTAAAAAAAAAAAAATTATAGTTTGAAACTTATATATACGTGAAACAAGCCATGCTAAAAGCTCTTCTTGTTCAAAAAGAAATATATATATTCAGCTGAAGTATGTGTATAGTTTACCTGTTCTCTTCAAGCGGCCATCGTCGTCAAAACACTTGGAATAGTTGGCTTGAGGATTTATGGCTTCAGCCTCGTTAAGAGCTTTAGGTTGAACCTCTACTTGCAAGTAGTGCCTGATATCATGTCTTTCTTCAACCTATATAGAACGAACATAAATATATTTAAGAAGCATTTTAGCAGAGAACTTAAAAGAGCTTATGTTGATCTATTAATCTTACAGCGCCATGATGAATTCTGCTGGGAAGAGTTCGACTTCTTGGCAACATGGCTATAGCTATGAAATGTTGATGAAAATGTTAATTATTTGAGTAGAACTGTTAATAAGAGAGACAAATAAAAAAGCTAATGAGAGATAATGGAGTGGGCGATGGATAACTTAAAATTATTACAAGTAGAGCTTTTTATAGGGCAAGGGAAGATAATTAATCACTTGACGCTAGTGCATAGTGCAAACGTGTTACTAAACAAGAGCATGAAACACGAAGTCTGGCCATAGTGTTCAAAATATCAGTACCCTTCAATTTTGAATCAAAAAGTGGCAAAACTCAATGCCCACTTAAAAATTATTACCATATTCTTCTGCCTCGAAATCTATCAGTTTTTTGTGGCTGACATTATTGTCTTTTTGTGGACAAGTTGATCAGTTGAAGATAAACAGATCAATATAAATACACTCTTCCAATAATTTGAGGCACGTCATCATAACTATGCAGAATAAGACCATAATCTGCATATCTACAGTACAACTAATCTAATATCTATAAAAATCTCTATAAGTTAAGATGAAATATTATATAAATATATGCAGGGATATTTATCATATCATCACTCATCAGTTCACAATTTTACATTACTTCTATTTACTTTTGCTAGGCATCATAACCAGTTTTGTAGGAAAAGTTTGCATAATAACATTTATCTCATATTATATACTAAACTTTGAGTACTTGAATTTTCAGTATGATGGGAGAAAGAAAAGAAGTTAAGGGCAACACGTACGGGGATCAGGAATTTTAGAAGGAACAAAGCACCATTTTGGTCACTTCAAATCTCCATTAGGTGAGAGCAGATAATATGACACGGACAGTTTCTAATGTGAAATAAAAACTGGATTGAAGATTGAAGCTACTGATCAAAGTGCGGTTCCTTGTCATAAGAACTAATGCCTCCGTACGTGTAAAGGCTAAGACATAAACTTCTAAAAGAACCAGTGTTTAACTGTATAATTATCAAGGGCACACCTTAAATTAACTTTTAAATTTATATTTTATCTATCTGTGAAGATATTTTTCTTATCTCTGCCTACCAAGTCTCTGTCTGTCTCTCAATGCACATATAATTGCTTTCTGACATAGCTCTCACCTTGTACAGCTGAGAATGTTCCCGTTTTCAAGTCATCAATGCACACATCAATGGATTGGAAAAGGAGGTCTTAAAACTAGCTAGATACAATAGCAGCGTGAAATGTGAAGTACTTTTTATGTGTAAAGTACTTCGATAAAGGATTATAGTGAATTAGAAAAGTAAAATGGGATTAAAACGTTCAAAGATGTTTATGTTTGAAATGCCATACATCTTCAAGTTCTCTAGTGAATTATAGCGGGTCGATAACTTGAAAATTCCCCACATTCCGGGTTCATCAAGTGTCATTCTGGACTATGGTAAGTTTAAACTTCCATTTTTCGTATAAACATTGAGATAATCAATACAATTATGAGGTTTAAGCACTGCATCGAATATATAACATACTGCAAAACAACAAGAAGAAACCATACAAATCGAACAAAGTCTAATAAAAGTAGGTTTTAAAAACTGTTTACAGAGCGACGAGTTTTTGTGTGTTTCCGATAGTGGAACGTATGGTTAAGGTTCATTTTCGTGTCATTTGATGATTAAAGGTAGGTGGTAGGAAGTGGCATCATGTCAACTGTCCACTACGGGACATGACATGCATTACAATAATTGCAATCAATTCAGTTGCTTTTAGTTTCTCAAGTAATTCTTTTTTACTTTTCCTTTTTTCTTTTGATGATCAGGACATGAGCATTGGGATAGCTCAAATGAAATTTTGGAGTGTGGAGACAACGACTGAGACCCCTCAAAGCGAGCATTTTAGAGGTTTAATTATCAGCCATTCTCATGGAGAGCTTTACTCGTATCAACTTATAATGCATGATGTAGCTTGTTGATTGATGAGTCTCTTACCACAATCAACAGAATTCAAGAGGTACCATTCCCCGTTTAATTACACCAACCCACTTCCCAATTCATTTCTCTTAAAGTTCAAAGTAAGCGCTGCTTTTCTTCTACTCTGTTAAGATGAGATCAGTTGATGACGATCGTGATCTTACTGGACTTCAATATTAGTTGACTCAGGGTCAACAAATTAGGGATCAATGCATGGACCATGGTAAAATCCATGTGAAGTTTGTTTGCCTTGAAATAATAAGTCAAGTTGACCATGTTTGTTGTTAAATTAGCACTTACTTGGGTCAACCTGCCGACCAATTACCTGAGATTAAAAGATTTAAGAACTCATGTTTAAAGAATTTTTCCGAGTTGTAAATGTTGAGGTTTTATATTTCTATGGTGCATATAGCTCAATATTGTCCGCTTTGGGTATTGGTACTCGCACGGTTTTGTTTTGAAAAAATGCATGTGAGTGATGAAGGGTCTGTTTGGTTTATTATTCTGATATTTTTTATAATAATATTTTGAAAAAGTTAAATTGGATGAATATTACGATGTAGGATTTGAAAATTAACAAAAATATATTTTATGTTTATTTACTAAACACCCCTATAATAAAATATTAAAAGTTAACAAAAACACCCATAATCCACCCATTAAATACGGACAGCCGGCCACCACCGCCAGAGGGTGGCCAGAATGCCGTATTGACACATAACCGGTTGGATCTTGTTGGTCGTGCCCCAATATGGCATTTTCTGGCCAGATTCATGGTAGATCTGGCCGGAAAATGCCAGATCTACGGCTGCCGTAGATCTGGCCATTGACGACCAGATCTGGCCACATTTAGTCATCAACGACAGCCAAAGATACGGTCGTCGTTGACCAAAGATACGGTCGTCGTTGATGGTCAACGACGACCATATCTTGGCCGTCGTTGACGGCTAGCTACAACCAAAGATCTGGTCGTTGACGATCATATCTTTGGTTATAGATCTGGCCATTGACGGCTAGATCTGGCAATTGACGACCAGATCTGGTCGCATTTAGTCATCAACGACAGCCAAAGATACGGTCGTCGTTGATGGTCAACGACGACCATATTTTGGTCATCGTTGACGACTAGCTACAATCAAAGATCTAATCGTTGACGACTAGATCTTTGGTCATAAATCTGACCTTTTCCAACTAGATTCACCATGAATCTGGCCAGAAAATACTAAATCAGTGCACTACCTGCTAGATTTAGCCGGTAGTGCGCCATTATACTAGCTTCCGACAATGGTGGCTGCAATCTGGTAAATGTGGGTTGCTGAGGTGTTTTTGCAATTTCTAAAAAAAAAAAATTGGGGTGTTTAGTTAAATTGACAAATTTAGGGGGGTTTAAAAGAAATTGAATAATATAAAATAATATTTTGAGAATAAGCCAATTTCACTGTTTAACTTTATTGGGAAAACTTATAATGCTATTTGGAAGAGTGAATTAAACGAAGCCGAAATTGTTGTAATGTTATATAAGTAATCAAGACCATCGTCTTCTAACTAACTGATGTACGATTTTCGCACCAACAGGTCTGAAGTTTAAATCTCTTCATAAATACTTATATCATCAAAGTTATTGTTTACTGTTTTTCAAAAATTGTAGAGTTTGACATGAAATTCAATTTCAAACTCAGGTTTACAAAATAAATCTCGGAAATTTTCGAATTATAAAGGAAAAAAATTGTAGTGGATCTTAAGGTATCATAAAAGTGGTGATCAAGGATCAAATTAGCACCGACCTTTAATAGGAGGGGGGAGGGGGGGTGTCTAAGTGGCTGACCCGAGTCAATGGACCAAGGTGCACCACGACTCATTTAGGGGTGAGCGGTTTCAGATACCCTGCATTTTGTGCTAAGTAGCTGACCCGAGTCAATGCATAAATGTGCACCACGACTTGTCTAGGGGTGAGCGGTTTCGGGTACCTTGCATTTTTTGGGAGAACCAGAATCGCACAATGCAGGTTCTCAAAAAAAGGAACCGGAACCGAAACTGCAGAATGCATGTTCTTAAATTCAAGAAACCGGAACCTAAAATGCAGGCTCCGGTTCCTTTCCTGGGTACCCTATAAAAAATCAATTACCCCCCTATTAGTTTAAAAATAACAAAAATACCTTAAAAGTTTCAAATACACCCCTAACAAATTTTGATTACTCATTCATTTGTGTCCAATGTGACTTATAAATCCTTTAATCTCTAGGCAACACTTGAATTCAATCAATTCATCACAATTCACATAAAATTCCTCAATCAAAACCAAAACACAAATAATTAATTAAATAATCATACTATAAATCTATAATATAATATTATAATTAATCAAATTTCTAATTATTTAATTAAGTATTGTACTAATGTTTATAATAGAATATTATAATTAATTAAGTAATCATACTATAAATCTATAATTTAATGTTATAATTAATTAAATTTTTAATTATTCAATTAAATAATATACTAATGTGGTAAATTACTAATGTTTATAATGTAATGTTATAAATTTATAATTAATTAAATAATCATTTAACTATGTAATGTTATAATTAATTAAGTAATTATAATGTAATGTAATGTTATAATTAATTAAGTAATTATTTAATTATAATGTAATGTTTTAATTAATTAACTTTCTAATTATTTAATTAAATATTGTACTAATGTTTATAATAAAATGTTATAATTAATTAAGTAATCATATTATAAATTTATAATTTAATGTTATAATTAATTAAATTTCTAATCATTTAATTAAGTATTGTGCTAATGTAGGAAATTATTAATATTTATAATATAATGTCATAATTAATTAAAAAATCATTTAATTATGTAATGTTATAATTAATTACATGATCAAACTATAATGTAATGTTATAATGAATTAAGTAATCATACTATAAATCGTTAATATAATATTATAATTAATTAAATTTCTAATCATTTAATTAAGTATTATACTAATGTTTATAATTGAATGTTATAATTAATTAAGTAATTATTTAATGAAGTAATCATTTGTTTATAACGTAATGTTAAATAATCATACTATAAATTTATAATGTTATGTTATAATTAATTAAATTTATAATTATTTAATTAAGTATTGTAATAATATAGTAAATTACTAATGTTTATAATATAATGTCATAATTAATTAAGTAATCATTTAATTATGTGATCATACTATAATTTAATGTTATAATGAATTGAGTAATCATACTATAAATCTTTAATGTAATATTATAATTAATTAAGTATTTTACTAATGTTTATAATGAAATATTATAATTAATTAAGTAATCATTTAATTAAGTAATTATTTATTTATAATATAATGTTATAATTAATTAAATAATTATACTATAAATCTATAATGTAATGTTATAATTAATTAAATTTTTAATTATTTAATTAAGTAATGTACTAAATTACAAATGTAATGTTATAAACTTATAATTAATTAAGTAATCATTTAACTATAATGTAATGATATACTTATAACTTGATAATTGAAGTAAATATCTAAATATTATATTATTATTCAATCAAATATACTATTTTATTCAAAAATAATTCTTTTAATCGGTCATAATTCCAATTATACACTTAATTAATCAAAACGTTGATATTAATATATTATAATATATTAAAGTTTTTTATATGATATAGTTTATATGTAATAAGTATAATTGTATATTTATTTAATTAGGTTATTGTAAAAATTTATCTTTTTTCATTTTAAATTTTTTTATTTGTAAAATTACAATATATCCCCTATTCTTCACAGATATTTATTTCAATCTAGGCTCCAAAACAGAGTACCCGCTGCAAGTTCCAAGCTGGGTATCTACTGTAGGTTCTTTTTTCCTAGTTTCAGTTCCAGTTCCAGTTCCAGTTCCAGTTCCAGTTCCAGTCCAGTTCCTCCACATGTAAGAACCGGAATTGCACAGTATCGGTTCCAAAAAAATGGAACCGAAACCTATCTGCACAGTATTGGTTCTGAGTAAATTTTGATTCCAGTTCTGATTCTATCTGCAGATTCTGATTCTACCCACTACCCGTGCTCACCCCTAGACTCATCCATGGTCCTACTACATACACAAGATTAGTCGTTAGTCCGAATTTCTTTTAAACGACATCGTTTGAGTGAGGGCAATTAAACTGCGTCGTTTCAACTGTCTTTTCTTGTCCCCCAAGAAGCTCACTACACTGTTTGTTCAAAAACCAGATCGCAAGCTAACCCAAACCAAAACGTCAAAAAACAAAAACAAAAACAAACGAAACAAGGGAAACAAAAATGGCTCGATACGATCGCGCGATCACGGTGTTTTCTCCGGACGGGCATCTATTCCAGGTGGAATACGCTCTGGAAGCCGTCCGTAAGGGGAACGCCGCAGTTGGAGTACGTGGAACCGATATCGTCGTCCTCGGCGTCGAGAAGAAATCCACCGCTAAGCTCCAAGACTCCAGGTAGTTTATATATATAAGCTAAGTTCCGCTTTTGTTTACTGGAATTAGTGATCGTTCTGAGCTTATGTTATTTTAAGTGTTGTGATTTGGATTATGAATTGATTATGTTAGTTGAAATTGTGACATTTACCATTCTAAAATATTGAATCTTACTAGTACGAATTTGAACGTTTGTGGGCTAAAATTTTGAACCTTTACATGTTTAAAGTGAACTAAAAATTTTGCAATTTCTGTTAATTCTTTCTGTTGAGAGTTGAGTTTGGATTTAAATAAGTATTGGAGACGTCCGCATATGAGAATTCTTGAACTTTTAAATTTCCAGTGTAGTCGTCAGGTTTAATGGTTTATTGTGATATGAATTTCTTTTGAGCAAATGAAGAATATGTGCCAAAAAGTTGTTTTTCGAGGTAGAAGTTGACTCATGCAGTCTTATTAAAATGCCTATATGTTTAAACTACACTGCTGGGATGAGACATTATACCATAGGAGGTTGAAGATGTGCATTGCTTTTATGATTAGATTGATTTGAAGGCATAGTTTGTGATATTGATGCCATTCAATTCAATTATTTCGCCATCTTTCTTTCTCTCTTCTTTTTTATTCAATGAATGGAAAAAAAACAGTCATGCTATGTATGCCTTAGTACAGCTTATATACATTTGGAGGATATATAGTTTTGCTTTCGCTCATTACTCAACGCAGTATCTCAGTTCTGTGCTTTTTTGAGTCATTCAGAAATCAAAATCATTCATTAATTACTAGCGTTCACTAGCTGGGCTTGGACATGGCCAACTATCTCAGTCAGCATTCCCTTAAGTCATTCTAGATAGGTGCCATCTCTACATTCTCGAAAATGTACTCATTACTTCCTAAATTAATAAATAAATAAAAAGAGCAGAATTTTTTTAATTTTAAAAGCATGTTTATATCTTTGGTATTGTTGTTTTCATTAGTTTATTGTATTCAGTTCCTTAAGAATTTAATTGGTGTGTATACTTATTATTTGTTTCTGCTTGCAGAATGATTAGGAAGATTGTTTCTTTGGATGATCATATTGCATTGGCTTGTGCTGGGCTGAAAGCAGATGCACGTGTCTTGATAAACAAAGCACGCATTGAATGTCAGAGCCATAGGCTGACAGTTGAGGATCCTGTAACTGTTGAATATATAACCCGTTATATAGCTGGTCTACAGCAGAAGTATACACAGAGTGGTGGTGTGAGACCATTTGGTCTTTCAACCTTGATTGTTGGATTTGACCCGTACTCTGGTAATCCATCTCTTTATCAGACTGATCCTTCAGGAACATTTTCTGCATGGAAAGCCAGTGCAACTGGTAGAAATTCAAATTCACTGCGAGAGTTTCTGGAGAAAAATTATAAGGAAACTTCTGGGCAAGAAACTGTGAAGTTAGCAATTCGTGCTCTGCTGGAAGTAAGTTATTCATCTGGCCATATTTGCCACATTTATAACGAAGAAGTTTTTTATTAAGGACCCTAAGAGATTCGCAATTATTAAAAACTCATTTTTATTAATAATAATAAAAATCTCCTCTAAAATAAACACTATGTTAATAATAATTAATAACAGTAGGCTTCTATGAATACTGCAAATCTTTCAAGAGGTACCTAATAATTACCCAAAAAATTTAGTAAAAAATCAGTTATCTAGATGTACTTGTGTCTAGATTTACTTGTATCTCATCTTTGAATCTTGTTAATTTATTTTGAAACTATTCTTCGTTAATGTCTAGATTTTTAGTTAGTAGATACAATATTCTTGTCAAGAAGAATTTTCAAACCTACATTTACCTGGCCTTAATTTTGTCGCCTATCTCAATTTTAGTATGCAACTATTCATTCATTATTGTTTGCAGTTTCAGTTAGTAGATACAGGGTTTTTTTAAAGTAGGGTCTTCAAAACTTACATTTACATGGTCAAACTTTTGTATCCCATCTTTGACTTTTTATTTTCGTATGCAACCATCATCATTAATGCCTACGTTTTCAGTTCTTAGATATGAGATTCTTTTTATGTAGGGTATCCAAAACTTATATCGTAGATATGAGATTCTTTTCTAGTAGTGTATTCAAAACCTACGTTTACCTGGCCTCATACTTCAAAGTAGTGTGATTACACTTTTGACGTTATGGAACAATTAACTAATTGCACTGCATATGAGAAGAATTATGCTAGGTAAGTTTCACTTTGTTACAAGTCCGATGACCAAAGTATTTGAAGAACTATATCATGTATATAACTAGGGATAATCGTGTATAGCAGTTTCTGCTTAGCAAATTTCATTCTTCTGTATATCTATTTAATGGGGCATAAATTTGCGCTATTCAGTTTAGTTTGTCTTTCATTTAGTGTATTGCCTAGTTGTTTATTCTAAGTTCACATAGTAAATAATTTTATGTCATGCCAGGCTCTCTTTTCAGCTGCATTAACTTACACTTTGTGTTGCATATACACTTAGGTTGTTGAGAGTGGGGGTAAGAACATAGAAATCGCTGTGATGACAAAAGAGCATGGCCTGCGGCAGCTTGAAGAAGCGGAAATCGATGCCATTGTCACTGAGATTGAAGCAGAGAAAGCAGCAGAAGAGGCTGCAAAAAAAGGCCCCTTCTAGAGCAACCTAGTTTTATTGAATCAAAAACACTATTTTTTCTCTTCTGGGTGTGCTAATTAATGAATTTGTTGGGCATTAGGATATTGGACAATGCTCAAATCTGCCCACTTGCCAAAAAAGTTGTTAAGTTTTTTTGCAAGTGGGCACATTACTGTTTCACTGATGGTACTTATCTGTGTTACCAAACAAAAACAAAAAAAAAAGAAAAAGAAGTGGGCAACTTTTTTTATGTCATTTCATACCTCAATGGATGAATGCTTCTCAAAATGTGCTTGGAAACGCATCAATTCTTGACAAGGAACTTGCATGATCAAGAAGATCAAATAGAAATTAAAATGTCTTGATGGGGCTGCAGTACATGAAGGAAAAAATCAATCTTTATCTATGTAAAGTGGTTTATAACTTAATCTTACAAACTTTCTTTACGGTTTTGACATGATTATTTGTAAATGGTCAGCTCTCAATTTGACAGGCTAGATTCATTGTGAACCGACCAATGACAAGTTATTACGTTGGATTTATGAGATTTGATTGTAAATATAGTATTGCTCAATAAAAAAATTAATCAAATTCGAGAGGATCATGTTAGGTAGATGCACATGTGCAGGTAAAAGGAGGTAATTAGTCTCGAAGATCTATAAAAGATAAAAAAAAGGAAATTATGGGTCCTTGAACACGTTAAGAGAAAAGATTTTAGTTTTGAAGATCTATAAAAAAGATAAAATAAAATAAAATGTTCCTAACACGTTAGGTAAAAACCCTTCTAGAAAAGGTAAAGATCCAAATTCTCTAAATCTATTGGTAGAATGATTGGGTATGGTATTAATGTCCAGAGAGATTGCATCTGTAAAATGAGTTTGACAATCCAAATGTATAGAAATATCCCATTTAATTTTATATCATAATTTGGAAAAAAGTGGGCATCATGTAGATAATGAGAACCAGAATAAGAATGAACATCACGTACTCTTTGTTTTACATTTATTTTATGAAGAAGAAGATGAAGAAGGCCTAGTAGAGATAGTGTGGCTACGCTAAACCTTTTACATACATAAACAATGACTTATCCTCCTCCTAAACCTAAACCTAAACCTAAGATCTCCACTCATCATCATCCTCCATATAAATTGTGAATTTCACGTGAGTACTTTTGTTTTGTTCCAACAAGAGAAGCAAAAAAAATCAAAATTTTGATTGATAATGTTTTATTTTATTATATTTCTTTGTATATGTTAAGGTTGCCGTTTACTCATGTTTTTCAGAAATTTATCGATCATAATCTAACGGTTTAGGTGGATTGATATAGGATTTTCGCACCAACGGTCTGAAGTTTAAATCTCTTCATAAATACTTATATCATCAAAGTTATGTTTACTGTTTTTCACAAAATGAGAGTTTGACATGAAATTCAATTTCAAACTCGGGTTTACAAAATAAATCCCGAAAATTTTCGAATTATAAAGGAAAAAAATTGTGCCACGACTCATCTAGGGGTGAGCGGTCGGGTACCCTGCATTTTGGGGGAACCAGAATTGCACAATACAGGTTCTAAAAAAGGAACCGAACCAAAACTGCAGAGCATATTCTTAAATTCAAGGAACTAGAACCTAAAATGTAGGCTCCGGTCCTTTCCCGGGTACCCTATAAAATCAATTACCCCCTTATTAGTTTAAAAATAACAAAATACCTTAAAAGTTTTAATACACCCCTAACAAATTTGATTACTCATTCATTGTGCCAATGTGACTTATAAATCTTTTAATCTCTAGGCAACACTTGAATTCAATCAATTCATCACAATTCACATAAAATTCCTCAATCAAAACCAAACACAAACATTAATTAAATAATCATACTATAAATCTATAATTTAATATATAATTAATCAAATTTCAATTATTTAATTAAGTATTGTACTAATGTTATAAGAATATTATAATTAATTAAGTAATCATACTATAAATCTATAGTAATGTTATAATATTAAATTTTTAATCATTCAATAATAATTATATGTGTAAATTACTAATGTTTATAATGTAATGTTATAAATTATAATTAATTAATAATCATTTAACTATGTAATGTTAATTAATTAAGTAATTATAATGTATGTATGTATAATTAATTAAGTAATTATTAATATAATGTAATGTTTTAATTAATTAACTTTCTAATCATTTAATTAGTATTGTACTAATGTTTATAATAGAATGTATAATTAATTAAGTAATCATATTATAAATTATAATTAATGTTATAATTAATTAAATTTTAATCATTTAATTAAGTATTGTGCTAATTGGGAAATTAATATTTATAATAAGTCATAATAATAAAAAAATCATTTAATTATGTAATGTTATAATTAATTACATGATCAAACTAAATGTAATGTTATAATGAATTAAGTAATCATACTATAAATCTTTAATATAATATTATAATTAATTAAATTTCTAATCATTTAATAAGTATTGTACTAGTTTATAATGAATGTTATAATTAACAAGTAATCATTTGTTTATAACGTAATGTTAAATCATACTATAAATTATAATTTATGTATAATTAATTAAATTTTAATTATTAATTAAGATTGTGAATATAGTAAATTACTAATGTTTAATATAATGTCATAATTAATTAAGTAATCATTTAATTATATGGTCATACTATAATTTAAGTTATAATGAATTGAGTAATCATACTGTAAATCTTTAATTGTATATTATAATTAATTAATTTTAATCATTTAATTAAGTAATTATTTGTTTATAATAATGATATAATTAATTATATATATACTATAAATTATAATGTAATGTTATAATTAATTAAATTTTATATTTAATTAAGTAATGTACTAAATTACTAATGTAAGTGTATAAACTTATAATTAATTAAGTAATTATTAACTATAATGTAATGATATACTTAAACTTGATAATTGAAGTAAATAAATAAAATATATTATTATTTAATAAATATACTATTTTATTTAAAAATAATTCTTTTAACGGTCATAATTCCATTATACACTTAATTAATCAAAATTTTATATTAATAATTATAATATATTAAAGTTTTTAATGGTGTAGTTTATATGTAATAAGTATAACTATATTTATTTAAAGGTTATTTAAAAATTTAACTTTTTTCATTTTAAATTTTTTTATTTGTAAAATTATAATAACTCCCTATTCTTCACCGATATTTATTAGTCTAGGTTCCAAACACGTAATCAGCTGTAGGTTCTTTTTTCCTAGTTCCAGTTTCAGTTCCGATTTCCTCACATGTAAGAACCGAATTACACAGTATCGGTTCCAAAAAAATGGAAGAACCTATCCGCACAGTATTGGTTCTAGTAAGATTTGATTCCGATTCTGGTTCCGTATCATAATCTGATTTACCCGCTACCCGTGCTCACCCTAGACTCTCCATGGTCACTACATAGACAAGATTAGTCCGAATTCTCTTAAACGACGTCGTTTGAGTGAGGGGAATTAAACTGGTCGTTTCAACTGTCTTCTTGTCCCCAAGAAGCTCACTACACTGTTTGTTCAAAACCAGATCGCAAGCTACCCAACCCAAAACATCAAAAAAAAAAAAACAAACGAAACAAGGGAACAAAAATGGCTCGATACGATCGCGCGATCACGGTGTTTTCTCCGGACGGGCATCTATCCAGGTGGAAACGCTTTGGAAGCCGTCCGTAAGGGGAACCCGCAGTGGAGTACGTGGAACCGATATCGTCGTCCTCGGCGTCGAGAAGAAGAATCACCGCTAAGCTCCAAGACTCCAGGTAGTTTATATAATAAGCTAAGTTCCGCTTTTGTTTACTGGAATTAGTGATCGTTCTGAGCTTATGTATTTTAAGTGTTGTGATTTGGATTATGAATTGATTATGTTAGTTGAAATTGTGACTTTACCATTCTAAAATTGAATACTAGTACGAATTTGAACGTTTGTGGGCTAAAATTTGAACTTTAAATGTTTAAGTGAAGTAAAAATTTTGCATATTCGTTAATTCTTTCTGTTGAGAGTTGAGTTTGGATTTAAAAAGTATTGGAGACGTCCGCATATGAGAATTCTTGAACTTTTAAATTTCCAGTGTAGTCTCAGGTTTAATGGTTTATTGTGATATGATTTCTTTTGAGCAATGAAGAATATGTACCAAAAAGTTGTTTTCCAGGTAGAAGTTGACTTATGCAGTCTTATAAAATGCCTATAAGTTTAAACTACACTGCTGGGATGAGACATTATACCATAGGAGGTTGAAGAGTGCATGCTTTTATGATTATATTGATTTGAAGGCATGTTTGTGATATTGATGCCATTCAATTCAATTATTTCGCCATCTTTCTTTCTTATTCTTTTTATTCAATGAATGAAAAAAAAAGTCATGCTATGTATGCCTTAGTACAGTTATATACATTTGAGGATATATAGTTTGCTTTCGCTCATTACTCAAACAGTATCTCAGTTCTGTGCTTTTTTGAGTCTCAGAAATCAAAATCATTCATTAATTACTAGCGTTCACAGCTGGGCTTGGACATGGCCAACTATCAGCAGCATTCCCTTAAGTCATTCTAGATAGGTGCCATCTTACATTCTCGAAAATGTACCATTACTTCCTAAATTAAAATAAATAAAAAGAGAATTTTTTTAATTTTAAGATGTTTATATCTTTGGTATTGTGTTTTCATTAGTTTATTGTATTCAGTTCCTTAGAATTTAATTGGTGTGTATACTTTATGTTTCTGCTGCGAATGATTAGGAAGATTGTTTCTTTGGATGACATATTGCATTGGCTTGTGCTGGGCTGAAAGCAGATGCACGTGTCTTGATAAACAAAGCACGCATTGAATGTCAGAGCATGGTGACAGTTGAGGATCCTGTAACTGTTGAATATATAACCCGTTATATAGCTGGTCTACAGCAGAAGTATACACAGAGTGGTGGTGTGAGACCATTTGGTCTTTCAACCTTGATTGTTGGATTTGACCTACTCTGGTAATCCATCTCTTTATCAGACTGATCCTTCAGGAACATTTTCTGCATGGAAAGCCAGTGCAACTGGTAGAAATTCAAATTCACTGCGAGAGTTTCTGGAG